TTGCCATACTCAAAACGATCATAGATGCATCCGCCACCTGTAACGCACGAACTTGACGTGGACTACGCCCAACGCGCGTCCACACCGCCACGTAAGACGCGAAAGAGCAAATCAGCCATTTCGGAGTTGTGCAGTCGCATTGCCTCTAGTTTGTCCTAGTCTTTACCTTGTGTACGATATATCATCGGTCCTGACGACAATATTCGACGAACTATTCAAATACCGATCAGACTCCTGCTTTTACAACCATCACTACCATGGCATTTCCCAAAAACCCCATGAGCCATCCCCAAACACCCTCAATGTGAAAAGGCTGGAGGATACTAGACCGCCCAACCGAAGCCTGTGTGACACTCGCCTACAACCCCTCAGCCTTGCGAGACGTTACATACTCAGCATCGCGTCTAATCGAGGATTAATTGCAGGCATGATTGCGAAGAAGCCGCCGCACAATTGAAGCCACCGCGTCCGCATCTCACAGACCACAAAATGGATCAGATGCCCACGACTTCGGCTCCTACTGGGGAGGGTCTGATGGTGCGACGTGTAGACTGGTGGAAGTGTGACTGGTACACGGGTTCTGTGTCTGCACGAAAGGACAGTTGGTTGTATGCTAGGTAAGTGTTTTTACAGAAGACTACATTTATGACGTTGGTTTGCGCTACTCAGGTGTTGAGCTATTGATATCTCACTGCTTCTGTTTAGCCACAAACCTACTTGTTCATACTCCATTCTAGCCCACTGTGCGCTCATCACCTTACCACGTGATATCCAGCGTAGAACCCCTACCTCGTGTCCCCAGTCACATCCCGCATCAGCGCATTCCACAACATCCTCGCCTACCCCTACCTAGCTAAGCGCCTACACATCCAAGCCAAGCAGATCCAGCCGCGCGCTCCCGCCTGATCACCCGGTAACAGGTAGAATATGCGAGTAGCCCGGCGGTGACCCAGCGCTTGGTCATCACAACGTTTTTCAACGCATAAGGATGTCAGTGCGCGGGAATGTGCAGCGAGGGCGTTTGGCGGTGGGAGAGGAGTGTGTTGGCGCTCAAGAATACCGTGAATGAAAAGAGAGGTTGGCGGTGACAGGCTGATTGGGTCCAAGGAATAAGAATCGGGTGATGTGCGACCGTTGATAGGTCTTTACGATCTTGTTATTGCGCGGTTGTGGAGAGAGGGGAATGAGTTGCTGGGGAGTTTGAGAAACTTGTAGTCATTGTAGAAGTATCTTGGGATCAGATTCCAGTCATTAATAATATTATACTTTAGCATTTATATAGGCTTCATGTTGTATGGCCTTAGTTACTGTAGGGTATGTGTGGAAAGAAACCTCTGTAGTAGTGCTGTATATCGAAACCGCAAATCCAACCTTTTGGCCAACACCTGGTATCGTCCCTCATGTATTTCCCAACCCAAACACCATGCTCAAACAAGACAAATGAAAATAGTGCAGTTTGAATAAACTTAACCATCGCTGTCGCTCCGTCCGCAACTGATCACCCTGATGAAACTACTCGGTTTCTTCTTCACGGCCTGCCGCTCAAGATCCCGCCTTACCGTCCTCGCATTCTCCGCAGCCTCAATCCTGGCCCTCTCCAAGCGCTGATCCTCCTTACTGGTACTCTTCCGACCCAGCTTTGGTGTCTTTTCAGGGCTTGTACTTGGTCTCCTCGCTTCACAGTCGCTATCCGTGCTGTCCATGCTGCCTTTTCCTTTCTTGCTAGTGCGACTCTTGACCTTGCGCTGAACCATCCATCCCGAGAGACCTAGTCTGTCTTCGCCATCGCTGTCCCAATCATCCCAGGCACTGATCGTGTTTTCAAATGCTGTGTCGACCTGACTCAAGCTTGGTCGGGATGTTGTTACGGTAGATGTGTATGGGCAGAGGGTGCTGTATTCAGACAATGCCAGGCTATCAGTGCGCGCATGTGGGTATGCTGGTGTTGACAAGAGAGGGTTTGCGAGACTGGAACGTCGCGTAGAGCGTCCAGACTGCGTAGCCCATGGCGGCGATGTAGGGGTTATGGGAGGGGAGTTCATTGCCGAACGCGGTACATGTGAATGCTGCGCAATCTGTAGACGAAGGAAAGGCTCATTGGGATCAGTAAGGGATGTCTTCCTCCTGCGTCCGAGTTCTGAGAGCGACTCAAAATCGGGTGGTGGCTGTAGTGCGGAGAGCCGAAACGACGAGTCTGAGATGTGCGCTGGCAGTGGGCAATATGAAGTTCGTCGTGATGGTGTTGACGTGAGAACGATGACATCATCGTTCAATGAGTTTTTGCGAAGTTTTTGGAGGTCAGTAGAGGCAAAGTTGCGTGCAGCAGGACTGAGAGGCGGAGTGGTTTCGCCGGTTGCAGAGGGTAGGACAATTGTTCTTGTACACCCTTCGCATACTCCGGAGGCGTAGGTGATAGGGAGTGTGCACGTCTTGCATATAGCCACTGTCGTTGAGGGCGTTGCGGCATGACCACGTTTGAACTTGAAGTCGAAACTTGGCCGTATCGGTGATCCTTCCTCTGGTCGATATCCTTTGCCGCTATTAGGGATCATTAGAGGTGGAGGCTGTGACGGTTTTGTGTTCCTCTCTCTCATCCTCGCTGTCTCCATGGCCTGCCGTTCGTACTTGTCCCAGAGGTTCGCTGTCTTCGCTGGTGTACCTGGTGATGGTCGGGGATGTTTGAAAGGCGACACGCTTCTTGCGGATGGTGCAGCTTCGTTTGGCGCAAGGACAGTAATGGTTGAGGTAGCCATACCGCAACTATACTGTATACTGGAGCTGACTACAAGCGTGAGGGAAGAGAGTAGTGAAGCCTATGAATGCGAGGAAACCCTGACAAAAGCTTGGGTTTCGCATACGATATATACTTGTACAAGTCCAGTGTACCGGGGCTTGAGCGGTGAGACACGATGTTTATCAGCTTAAAGGTCCGTCCTAAACAAGACACCAAGATCTGGCGGTGGCGGGGGATAGAGATACTTTGGTGTAGGCTAGGATTAGACGTTACGTTGCGCCGCATCCCCGGATTAGACAGCGCTGTACACTATTGATCGTCACTCGATGAGCGTGCAGTAGCAGATAGATCTCCACGTCTCTGTGGCTGCTTAGCGGACGTGCGATATGTGCTTGGTCCAATAGGCGCCACGCGGTGCGACGCAAGGCGTCACTGTGCTCCCGATGTGGTAGGGGTCTTAGGCGAAAAGAAAAGAAGCAAGGGAGCACTGTCTTGTCAGCATGCTACTGGCGCCATTGGCGTCTGCCGAGAAACGCTCCCTAACACTGACGATATGCCTGCGCATGCGGGATGATGTGCAGTGCCCGCGTTGATGATACGGGTGATCTCCTTGCCGGACGCCATGGGGAATCGGACTACAGGCATTAGATTCGCCCTTATCATTTAGCAGAGAAGCTGTGGCACCTAAGCACATTTGTGCGGCTGTAGAGGATGTTTTAGGCATCGTATTGGATTTCGTTGTTGTCGTACAGCATCACTGAGATGTGACTCGATGTACCCATGTACGTTCCGAGGTTCCTTCGCTGCCCAGGGTGGAGGAAAAAACACTGCGTATGCGTTGTTTCGCAAGTTACTGGGGAGAAAGATATGACGAAGCGGCGTTCAAGCCCTCATAACGAGCAGTCGATTAATTCGAGACGAGACGCAACCCTCGAAGGGAAAAACGAGCTATCGTGACGAGTCGAGCGAGGGCTAGAACATCGTGGCCTCGAGAAAAAGACAACTTACACATCGATGTGCCTATTGTTTATTCGATCTGTCTATACTGCCCTGTCATTGTCATGTTCAGCTCGGCGTCCAACGTTACATTTGGGAAGCACAGCTTCGAGTTCCGTCCATATTCATGTCATCGAGCGTCTCAGCACCAGCCACACCACGATCGCCTCATCAGCCTGAATTGAGAACGTGGGCGGAAAAGTCCGGATCAGTCCACAGTATAACGTCTTGGACTAGTTGGGACGCATTGGAGAAGGATGAAGTTGTGGTTCCAAGGTTTGAAATCCCCGCGGCTTTCACGCTGCTGGTCTTGGCGCAGATTAGCGAAGCGGGACGGGATGGCGCCGCGACCAACAACAAGATGCACGGCTCGTCCTGGAGCGTCACCTCATTGATCGATAACTGTCCGATATGACGCAAGCTGCTTTTCGTCGCGCTGTGAGAAGAACTCAGCTCAGCCCTCGAGCACTTAGGCTATCGCGATAACACCTCGCATGCTTTACTCGTCATCTCTCGCCAGACAGACCCAAGGAGGTTGCGGGCGTTCACAGGCTTGACAAAGCAATGGGTCAACGCATGGCGACGCAATCTCACAGCATCGCGATGACTACGGTTGGTGTATGGGACAGGGAACCGCACGGCTTCCAGTGTGATTGTTGACCTCGACATCGATATCTACATTGCCATCGACTGATCAGTCCAGCCCAACCGAGACACCTGGCAGTCTCAGCACAAATGTACGCTACTGTCACCCAATCCGGCATCTGCCATTGCACTTGTTCGTTCCTTTTGTCTACTCGAGCGCATTCAGCATCCACTCTAGCCGGCGATCACATGAGGGCACGGGATTGCAGCCGGCCCCGCACGCCCCGACACTGCATGAACGTTCATCATGTCAGCATCGGACAATGACCTCGACCCCAAACTAACCTTCTTCATCCAGCCAACCAAAGAAGCAAACACGGGGACACTGCAGTAATCGTATATCAACACAGTTAGGCTCCTGCAGCGCGTGAGAAGTTAGCAATTGATGAGGACCGTAATCTTGCCTTGCACGCATGCACGGAACTCCACATACATAGCTTTGAGTCCGACCACAATGTCAACAATGTTTATCATCTGCTCCAGTGCGCTCTCCATGTCGCCGTTGCCCAACAAGCCCAAAAGCGACAGCGACGCAACTGCTTGGTTCTGGTCCTGGGTGTCTGTCTCTTACCCGAACTAAAGGATCGCGTTCGCTGCCGGTTTCCTGGGGTCTTTGGGTATCATGATGGGGTTCAACTTCACCAGTCTGCGCGATCTGGATCGGACGGATGGTACGGTGGTGCTACAGCAAGGTACGATTCTTACAATTTTCGTCAACTTGATTGCGGGGCTGATTGTGCGCCTCTAGCTGGGTATGATGAGAACGCGCCAGTAGACATTGTTCTCTACCCGCAGCCTTCGCCGGTCGACCCTAACGACCCTCTCCGCTGGCCTCGATGGAAGAAGCATGTCGCATTTGCTTCGGTTTGCGCCTTCACGTTTTTGACAAACTTCGCTATCGGAGGCTTAGCGCCAGCGTTCTACATCCTCTCGATCGAGTTCGACAAGTCAATGGACGAGACTTCGCATCTGCTCCTATATCCCATTCTGGTATTGGGCGCGTTCAACTTCTTCTGGGTGCCGGTCGCCAATTACGTCGGAAAGAGGCCGGTCTTCGTATTCGCCAGTGCCCTGCTATGCGCATGCTACGTATGGGGTGCCATGGCAAATTCGTTCCAGAGTCTTTTATGGAGCAACATTATCGCGGCGTTTGCAGGATCTTCTACAGAAGCGTTGGGCGCGGCGACTGTCAACGACCTGTACTTTTTGCATGAACGAGGCAGCAAGATGGGCATCTACATGAACGCGATCGCAGGAGGCAACACTCTGGGACCGCTCATCTGCGGCTTCATTGTAACGAACCTCAGTTGGCGTTGGCACAAGTGGATCGCTGTGATTCTGACGGCGCTGAACTTTCTCACCATCCTGTTGTTTGTCCCTGAAACGCGATACACGCGTGAAGAGATTAAAGGCGTCGGTGTGGCAATCTGCCCAAGCAGCGATAAGATCGTCATGGCAGATGAGAAATACCTCCGGCCAAAGTCTAGCAACCGAATTCTGCACCAACATGCAAAGAACACTTGGAAGCAAGAATTGAGCCTATGGAGTGGAGTTTCAGACACGAGTCTGCCGAAGATGTTTCTAAGGTATTTATATGCTGAGTTTGTTAAAGATGCAGTACTGACGTCAAATAGGCCGTTTCCAATGATCGTATATCCGGCAGTCATATACGCATTTCTATGCTACTCCATCTCTTTAGTTCTCACTGTCGCGGTCAACATTCTCAATCCGTTTGTGCTGCAAGCTCCGCCATACAATCGGAGCCCGCAAATCAACGGACTGATCAATATCCCGGGTATTGTGGGCAACTTGATTGGTGCTTGGGCAGGAGGTGAGCAGCCAAGTTCAAGTACGATGAAACGTGTGCTAACTGAAGCTAGGCAATCTCGTGGACATCTGGTGCAAGCGACGGACACGAAGAATGCTCGGAATCTTCGAGCCAGAAAGCAGGCTCTATCTGGTTGCCATCCCACTCGTGATCACAACAGCAGGCTGTCTCGTGTTCGGTTACGGTGTGCAGAACCAATTATCATGGGTATCGCTCTTCTTCGGGTATGGCATGATTTCACTCGCCTTGACTGCCGTGCCGACGATCACAATGGCGTATGTCAGCGACTGCGCATTGCCGGTAAACTCGGACGTCCTGCTAATGGTGAACGGGCTAAAGAACATTGTGGCTTTTGGCTTTCTCTATGGCGTGGTGCCATGGGTTGAAGAGGCGGGTTATGTGAACGCTTTTGGTACTATGGCCGGTGTCTTTGCTGGCATAGTTGGTATTGGTGCTGTGTTGCTGGTCATCTATGGCGCCACTGTACGCCACACTTCAGCACAATGGAAGGTTATCCTGGAATGAGCAACGCGTGGAAACCAATGTAATGTGTAGTAAAAGCCTAGTCAGCACGTGGAAGAAGCCGTGCAATGCATTAAAGCGTATCGGAATATATGCTGTGGTTGATGCAGTACAAAGCTTACTCTTTATGCATGTGAGATTGCTATGTAGCTTGGGCTTTTGCTTGCGATTGCTCTATGAGTTTGGTGTGCATCTTCTCGATCTCAGGGATGATGAGAGATTCGATTTCCAACGATGGCTCGCCCTGCGGTATCCCTTTCTCTGTTGCGATAGACTCGGTCGCCTGAGCATCCCTCCTTGTCTTCTGATCAGCTAATCCGACGAGCGAAGGCATGCCCGACAAACTCTTCGTTCTGCGGCTAGTAGGTACGCGTATCCATTTCTCACCATCTAGAACTGACACGAACACGACTTCCCATTTTCGGGTGAGCAGCAAATTTCCGATGACGAGATGATGCGAGTATTTGTTCAGCGCGTATTTGGCTTTGGTGACCAGTAGGGAAGGATCAGTCTCCAGCTTGAAGCTTACGATCATTGCATCGGGTGCCCAGCCATCAACGAGCTGTTTGAGGAATTTGGGAACAGGCTCGAGATCAATGATCAAGCTCTTGCCCTCGGTGCGCGCGGCTGGTGGCTTTACATCGCCCCCACGAGTTCCATCCGCGGTCTGGTGAAACTCTTCGTTTGACTGTATCTTGTGCTCAACCATGCGGTCCTGTGGCACAAAAAAGTCGGACACAGCGGCAGCCAAGTAGAACATGGCTTTCGGCCCAAGTGGACGCATGAGCTGCGCAACCTCGCGCAGATTCCACAGGTACTCGGTGATAGTCACGTAGGACAAGATCAATAGCTTGTTCTCTCGCTTCACCTCGGTGTACTGCCGCAGCACGCGCAGCATCTGATCCTGGTGCTCTTGATTCACCACTACTTGTCCGTTCTCCTCCTTCATGTAATCGAGGAACGAGCGCGTGTTGTGCGAGTAATGCCGCGAAAAGGGCAGGAGCGAGAATTGGCGGTGCAGGAAGATGACGGCATAGCCATTTTGGAGAAAGTATTCGGCGCTGGTGGCTCCTCGCGTACCGGCAGAGAAGTTGTCGATGTAGCGGACTGTCTGCTGTTCTAGAGGTACAGTGGTGCCACCCGAAGTGACTAGGACGACGCGACGACCCTCATCGGCATGTCGCGTGATGAATTCGCGCGCAAGAGTCGTGTTCGTTTTGAGGTCTTTTGGCGGCGGCTCGTTGGCGAAATAATCGCTCTCTGCCTGTTGTGCACTCTTATCCGTCATGGTGGCATGATGGAGTCGTCCCCTCGCTGCATGGGAGCTGAGCCATCGTGTGGCGGGGTAGCTCCGAGCAAACCTCCCCTCACTGATGAGTAAGGCATGCACCGGTACGTACCAATTTCTGACAACGTCCACACTTCAACGACCTTCAGCATCGCCTCGTAAGCGCTCCACATCTACCATAAAATTGCACAGCTATGAGGATAAACTATCTTCCAGTACTCTCCTGCGCAGCGCCCTCGTGCGAGGGCCCTCGAATTAAGGTTCTAGGTTCTGGAATAACAACGCCCCATCCGTTTCGAGACCGAGATATAGTGCCTGACGGCTTCGGGTGCTTGATCATTCCGCTAGAAAAATGGGTCCTTTTTACCCTGACCCTCCAGATATCTGGGTATCTCGCCATGAGTATGCAGGACTCCCCAAATGATGATACGGTTTCGGAAGTTTGTTCCTGTTGTATGCTACAGTCATAGCGTCACCAAATTACCCGGGTATGAGAAAGTATCTTTCACTTCGATCGCTACTGCTTCGCAAGCTAAGCAAAGATCGAGTTGTCTAAAAGACATGTTGACGCCGATGATTGTCCATGGCTTGATCACGCGTCACTACAATGAGGATGGTGCATTAGACAAACTCAGACTCGCCCGATTGGGACACGTTGATCCTAACGTCTTGGTTACGTGGGAGATTTCACGAGGAGTTCTATCAAATGCTGAGAGAACTACTTTATGCGCAACACACAGGCGATTCGAACGAGATGTGTGCTATGGTCGGAATCGCGGCATACAACGTTTGGTTTTAGCTCAAAACATCTAGTCCACCAGGCGTGTAACGGCGCTAGGGTCTAGATAATGGTATTCTAGAATCACGTTGAGAATGATCAATGATGGTCTGATTCTTTTCGGGGATTTCGAGAGTAAAGTGTATTCCAAATGCTTCTTTCCATTCTCTCACCGCTCTCCAAGGTTAAAGTGTTTGAGTTTAGTATGTAGACCAAAGCTAACGTTCTTCTTGCAGAATACGCCAGACAATAGAGGGTGGGTCGGGGAAGACAGGAAGAGATGCCGTACAAACCATATAATGGTGATAAGGATGTCGTACGACAGAGGAACACTGTAGTCCGTGAACTACTGCAGGGTCGCATGGAAGGGTCACGACTACATTAAGCTTTCGTCACAGGCAGCGGATACACCATAATGTATGCTTGACTGTCGAGCTCGTGACATGTACGCCTGTTCTGAAATAGGTTCACGCCTTGTCGAATCTGACCACTTCACCGGCTCCTGAGACCAGTGATAGCCAGAGATAACTGGAGTATTCTGACAAGGAGATCCGGAGCAAACCGTGGAACCTTCCGTCCACCGTATGCCGTATTCAAACAGAAGAAGCCTAGTGCATGAAGCAGACCGAGGTTGTTGTTGCTAAGACCGTTGGAGATTCAAATGCGTGGTCGCATTAGGGCAAGCGTCCGGTAACCGTCCGATTGGAGGCTGTAATGTGGGACCGAGTATACTCTACGGTAGCTTAATTTAGGTCAGGGTCTCAATGCGGCGCAAAACAGTGTGCGGCTGGACGCGCAACGAATGCTAAGCAGGAGGCCAAGGTTTCGTTTATCAGAAACATAGCCGTGGTGTTGAGTTTAGATCTGGAAACTTTGAGTGCTAGCCGAAAGATAAGGGTCTCAGCTTCCAGAAGTGACATGTCCACAAGCCAGCATCGTGAACCGAGACGGCCACTGGGCTCTTGCACCCATTGGGAATAAGTGAAGATGGACGTGGATGATGTTGCTCGCAGACGACGCGAAAGTACTGACGCGCTGTCACGTGCGATTGGCAGCTAGTGTCTTTACGTAAGCAAAACAGCGCGTTTGCGAAGTGAGAGAGCAACAGCTGTCCGGCAACGACTCTCGACCGTCACCGCCCCATCTCTCCATTGTCGCAACCCTCCGCCTTTGTCCGTATTGTATATTCTGACGCGATCGCAAAAATGTAAAGAAACCAGCTTCTCGGCAGGCCTGGATGGCAGAGCTAACGTGGTGCAGGGAGGCGTTCAACGACATCTATCTCAATCTTTCGCGGAAGCCTGGCGCGGCTCGATTTTCAGACTCGGGCTTTGGCTGGAAGCCTGCAAACGGTGGCGAAACCTACACTTGCGACCAGTCACAGATCCAACAAGCGCAGTGGAGCCGAGCCGCGCGCGGTTACGAAATCAAGATCCTCTCGCGCAACGACGGCGTCATACAACTCGATGGATTCAAGCAGGAGGATTTTGATCGCGTATCCAAGGTCTTCAAATCTTGGTACGGCATAGGTCTCGATAACCGGGAGCATGCCCTGCGCGGCTGGAACTGGGGAAAGGCCGACTTCGGTAAGGCCGAACTTACTTTCAACGTCGCCAACCGCCCTGCCTTCGAAGTGCCCTATACCGAGGTCTCCAACACAAATCTGGCAGGCAAGAACGAAGTGGCCGTCGATTTCTCACTGCCTGCCGAAGGCGACGCTGGCGCAAATGGAAACTTGGGAGGAGCCAGATTCAGAGGCAAGAAGTCCGCAGGTGCTCGGGACCAGCTCGTCGAGATGCGCTTCTACATCCCCGGTACAGCCTCGAAGAAGGAGAAGACAGAAGACGGCGAAGAGGGCTCTGGCGCTGAAGATGTCGAAGAGACAAATGCTGCCAACCTATTCTACGAGACACTGATGGAGAAGGCTGAGATTGGCGAAGTCGCTGGTGACACATTTGCTACCTTTTTGGATATCCTACATCTCACGCCCAGAGGTCGATTCGATATCGACATGTACGAAAGCTCGTTCCGGTTACGCGGTAAGACATACGACTACAAGATCCAATTCGATTCGGTCAAGAAGTTCATGGTCTTGCCAAAACCCGACGACATGCATACCCTCATCACCGTTGGTCTGGATCCTCCCCTCCGACAGGGTCAGACGCGATACCCCTTCCTCGTCATGCAGTTCAAGCGCGATGAGGAGGTCAACCTTGATCTCAACATGAAGGGAGATCTGTTGGAGGACAAGTACAAGGACAAGCTGCAATCCCACTACGAAGCTCCCATTGCTACAGTTGTAGCGGACATCTTCCGTGGTCTCAGCGGAAAGCGTATCACTAGACCGTCCAGAGACTTCATCAGCCATCACGAGCAGTCGGGTGTCAAGTGTTCGATCAAGGCCAACGAAGGTCACTTGTTCTGCCTTGACAAGGCATTCATGTTCATTCCCAAGCCGGCAACCTACATCAGCATGGATAACATCGCCTCTGTGACCATGTCGCGTGTTGGTGGAGCTATGGCTGCAAGCCGTACGTTTGATATTACCTTCAGCATGAAGAACGGCCAGGCTGAGCATCAATTCTCCAACATCAACCGGTGGGTAATACTAATCTCAGACTAAAGACGCTGAAACTGACAAATACGTAGGGAGGAGCAACAGCCACTCGAGAATTTCTTCCGTGCCAAAGGTATCAAAACCAAGAATGAGATGGCAGACGATGTTAGTGATATCATTTCCTCTTACGCAAACTTGGCTGACATAGTGATACACAGTCCGGAGCCATTCTGGCAGCTGCTCTTCAAGATGAAGATCTTGCATCCAGCGATGATGGAGCACCAGCAAACCGCGGTAGTGCCGATGAGGATGACGAAAGTGTAGATGAAGACTTCCAAGCAGACTCGGAGTCGGAAGTTGGTGAGGAATTTGACTCCGATCATCAAAGCAGCGGTTCCGACAGCGATGCTGAAATGGACGATGCGGAGAGTGACGGCGACGCCGGGGAGGCGGTACCAGAACGTCCTAAGAAGAAGCAGAAGGTGTCGCAATAGTGACAGCCCTTGCAATGACCATAAGCGGGCACGGGGGCGCGGGTGGACGGCGGTGAAGGGGGCGCCGCATCATCTTCCGATGCTTGCGTGCTCATCGAAGATTGGGAATGCGATGATGATGAGGTTCGTCGCGCTGCCGCTGTTAACGCTTCGAGCGCGTTATCGTCAAAGCTCGCCCAGGTCGTGGAGGACGGTCCGATCTTTCTCATAGGTTATTGTGAAACTTGGCAGGATGGCAGGAAGTGAAGTTCCGGTCGTGAAGACAGGGAAAAGCACCCCTAATGCGTAGGTAGTCCAGGTAGAAGGGCCGACCTGCATCCTTAGCCGAACGCGCAGCGACCAGGAGAAAAGTTTAAATTCAGTGGCAAGTTAGCGTCCATAATCCGGCTAGTCCTCCCCCAGCGAATGCTTGCAGCGTCTACAAGTGGTGTCTGCATTGCAACTCGGCCGTGGCTCGGCTGACTGCGGCGCTTGACGCGACCTGGCGTGGGCGCGGCGGGCCCATGTTAGTTCCTTACACTGAAGTCTGGCTTCTCACACACCAGCTAATTTGAGCAACGCGAGCGCGATTCAGATTTGTGCACTAGCCCAGGAGCAATCCTTTCGTCGATTTTCGTAACCTTGCTCATGGTGACGGTGGATCCGCAACTGGCGCGAACCCATGCTAGACCCCGCATCTAACCATCGAGTATCAAACGCTTTATCGCCCTCGACATACTGGTATAGATATAGGGCAGCTCTCTCCGACTCATGTGGATGCTTTTTCTTACCCACTTCCCTCGGCACGAGGCTATGAGATCTTAAGCTTTTTCGCAACAAGACCCACACGATAGAACTACTTGCAATGCGATCACGAACCGGATGGTACGTGTACTTGTGCTTCTACATCGCCGCCGCCTACTGACCCTCGCCATAGTCTCACTTGCCGTCAGCGGAAGCTGAAGTGTGATGAAAAGAAACCTGTGTGTGGGCAGTGCACCAAAGCCTCAAGAGAATGCATTCCCAGCTCAGGTATCGTCTTCCGCCACCAGCACAATGCCTCCATGAACGGAGAAGACTCAGGGGATGAGAACTCCCTGAAAGGCTTCTACGCGTACAAAAACACATTTGACGAGGATGCCATCTGGATGGACATTCCTAAGCATGGTGAGACCTTCTAAGGTCCTCGTGTCACCCATGCAGCTCGGCTAATGCTCTGCAGTAACCTTCATCAACACCACCAACCCATACCTTGATCCTGGCACACCCGACTTCGACAACATGTCGACAGCGTCGATGGAGTCGCCGGGACCATTCGAGACTCGCTCTTTGCCTTCGTGGCGCACTCACAGCAACTTTCATTCAGTTACCAGCACACCTTCCAGCATGGGGCCAGATCTGGCTCCGACCAGCGTTCCTTTCTGTTACACACCTGACCTCGAAGCCTTACCACCACTGATGCAGTCACCACCAGCCTCAGTTGTAGGAACGCCCCTTTCTCCACCTCTTTCATTATGCAACCGACGCATACATCCCGTGATGGACTTTACTGCCTCGACAGCCTCGCCGCCAATAGACCCCCGTCTCAACTCACCATACGACTCCGCCGACCACATGCACCGCTCCGTTTCGATAGCAAGCTCAAGACGCTCACCACCTCGATCCGATAGCGGTGTCTCTATCGTTCAAGACGATCACGAAATTGCTTTCCTGCTCCGGTGGTTTTCAGAAGGTCCTGGCTACTGGATGGATTTGTACGACCTCGGCACATACTTCGCGTCTTACGTTCCTGTACAGGCACGTGAGAACCCACTGCTCAAGTACGCAGCTGTTGCTTGTGCAGCGAAGTCTCTTGCACGTGTTCAAGGCCGCAAACCCGTCATGGGAGGTAGCGTAACGCGTCAAGCTCGCATGGAACAGTACCCCGAGGCATCAATGGTGGATTGGAAGCACAAGGCGGCAGTATACTACGATACAGCTGTATCACTACTGCTTCATGCTCTCAAGATGGATGTCGCCTCCTCTCCCGACGAGTCAGAATGCGAACTAAGAAATACCAACTCGGCCTACGATGGACCAGCACCCAAGCGACGACGGACATCAAGCAACACCTCGTTTGTATCCAACACCGACGAACTACTAGCAGCATCGGCCATTCTTTGTGTCTACGAGTTCTTAGATACTTCCGTCTCAGACTGGACAAAACATCTGAATGGTGCCAAGTCTCTGCTCGTGCTTTCACAAGAGCACGTTATGCCATTACAACTACCAACACCCACATCTTCGGTACCATCCGCAAGCTTCAACTTTGCTTCCAAGGCTCGACGAGCAACCTTTTGGAACATTGCCAGACAGGATATGCTCGCAGCCTTTATCAACAAGACTAATACACGACTGGACACCGAGGACCTCTCATTATGGAGAGAAGCTGGCCTCAAGATCGATGATCAAGGCTACATCATGCCTAGTAATACGACAGTATGTGGTTTCCCGGAAGATAACGACGTGATGAGGGAAGACCTCATCTGCAATGCCCTTGTCTGGCTCATGGCCAAGCTAGTCAACTTCATGGCTGCAGGCGACGAAGTTTCTAATGAAGCCGGCATGGCATGGGCAGGCGTCCCTCAGCGCACCCTCCTGGATTACTGGTTCGGTCTACGAAAACAGTTCCAGGTCTGGCATGATGGCCTCCCGGTCACATTCAAACCTTCCGCCAGGGTACCTTCGCAAGCATCCGGGCCGATGTCCAGCAACGATAACGTGTCCATGTTCACAGAGGTCTGGTACTCTATACCCATGTGCGCCTCCACCATGCAGACATACCACATGTCACAAATTCTCTTGTTCATGAACAAGCCACACGAGTCCACCCAGGGGCGCAGCACTGTCGTCGCCCGCATGAACTCTTACCAGTCGGTTCTGGCCACCTGCCAGAAGCACAGCCGCGAAATTGTTGGCATTTCGCTGGCTCGGTCTGACGAAGCGGTCCGGATCCACTCCGTGCAACCCCTGTTCACTGCTGGCCAGTGCCTCAGTGACGCACGAGAACGCCAAGTCGTTTTACATCTTCTACGTGACATTGAGTCCGATATTGGTTGGGCCACAGACTACCGCGTGCGCCAGCTGTTCGAGCAGTGGCAAGGAGAAGAATCAGAGGGTCTGGTACCATGAAGCACTCCACTTGGAGGCTTCAACAGCCACACAAACTTTGCCCTTAGCAAGCCCGCCGCCAGCCTCCTGCTGTCAGCCTCAGCCATGAGTCTAGGTACTACCGACAGCTTAGTCTGGGTAGCAGAGGTCCCGTACAAGCCACTACTAGCGTGCGCCTGGCCCTTGTCCATGGTGCGGGAACTATCGGAAGACTAGAGGAACACGAACTGTCAGTCCCAAAACCGACACAGGTCGCCCAGACCTCATCGAGCGCAACGCCGATGATCGGACGGTCTGCTGCAATGCGACCGCACGGGCTACAGCTTCAGATTGTGGAAGAAGCGTGTAAAGAAGGATCAGATAGCAGGAAGATTAGGATTGCAGTATTAGCCTGCATCCGACATAGATAACAAGCATACATAGAGATCGAATAGAAGCTTATCGCGCTTTGCAGAATATTTTCCTTGACTACGAATATGCAAACGTGACCTGCTAATTTTCTCAGCCCGACTGCATCATCACAACATGCACCAACAACATGACAACATCACTTCGAACATGAACTCCTTGACCGCTACCGCTTGATGCCGTCTTATCCGAATAGCTTCTCATTACCCCATACCCACTCTGAAACCAAGAGATTCTAGATACTCTACCTGTGAACTAGGCCTGAGTTTTCCTTCTGGAAGGGAGACTTCGCGCCTCTAGCAAGCACAACATACACCGGTCGGCGTTTGACCAGCGGACAAGCCAGCTGCACCCCCACTTTTCTTTCTTCGCCGCCAGTGCGGATCCGGTTCGCGACCGGATGGCAGTATCCATAGTACGCGCGAGACACATTTGAGTGCCCTGCATATATTGCCTTGCAATCACGGCCCAATCCGCGTGCTGGGGTTGGCGATATATGACGCATGCCTAATAATGCGTGGTATACCTTGGAAAGAGTCTGAGACACCCTGGGATGCAGCAGGCGGTTCGTTACTCGGGGACTTTTTCCCCGGCGGTGCAATGTGGCGGTGCTTCGGCGGTTTGAAGATCATTATATCACAATCATCAGATGCGAGTGCAGTTGCGCACGCCATGGAAAGTTGCTGTCACAAGACCTGCGTAAATCGTGAAAGGTATGTGGAAGACTAGCTGATCATCTCGGACGCGAATTTGGTAAGGACGCTCGGCGAATAGAGAAACGTGGTTTAAAGTTTGGTTCTAGAGGAAACGCCTGGGACGGGAAGAAACGAGGTGCGTGCCTCGTAACGAGTCGGGATATTACCATTGGGGTATCCTGGCTCGGTGTCTTGGCGGACGCTTTGTGGAGGATGCTTGGTAGTCTGATGATGCACAATTGCTCCCCTACCTTGAATATGCACGTGTTTGCTGGCGAAAGTGTCGGGAACTGCCCTTCATGACATCATAATCATGCACCTTGAATCCTTCGTATATAGAGTATGGCCGACGAGTACGGTGGATAGCCGACGAGTACTGTGGATATCCGACAGGGCGTTTACAGCGTATGAACATTATGCATCGTTCTACACCGCAACGCTCCAAGTACGCTAAAAGAAATCGATGTTTGACTTGACCGGATGGTGGCTGCCTCCAAGTCTTGCAATCTTAGAGCTGCAGCGCGAATGCATATGCACATGCAAGCAAGACACCGCTTCCACCTATGCACGATGGCGTAGCCGTCAAACGCTGGATAAGCGAGGGATAGGATACAAGGGCTTCTCGAAGATTTCCTGCTGCAGGTTAGTGAGGCTTAACGGCGCCTAGTGTACACTACTGCAGGTTTTCATGCATTTCACTAGTGCGCGGGCAAGCTGATGGTGTAGGGGCCATCGGATTCCCTCTTTGGGTGGCGTTCGCTGCGGCTCCGCGGTTTAGCCGTGTGCTGGGAGATGAGACGCAGGACGCGTAAAGTAGGTGTGAGAAATTGTGGTCTGAGAATGACGTATGGATCTGCTTTGAATAACCTCAGATGTTTGTTTACGGACATCTATATAGCCGAAATAGTCCTCATTACCCTGGACCCATGATATGTCTCAACCGGAATGAGTCTTGCGTAAACTTCATTCAAAAGTGTGACAGAAGTTTCAATTCGCTAGCGGAGCTCTAGTCCCAGCCAACGGAACAGTAGGTCAGAACACTCATGCGCTATGTTACAGCGCTACTCTAAACTTCATGCGGCAGAACGCACGAGTTAGTTTGCTGCGTGGTAGGTTGGCAACGTGCATGCCTCGTGGTTGGGCTCGAGCTAAGATGTTATCGAAGACATTTAGGTTTTCGCACGTACTCCAGGATACTGAGTATGCTTGCTGCCGATCCACCGCCGAAACCAGCCCCCACGGCATCTCGACTGCCTATACAGGCATTGCCGAAAGTGATGTGTTGTCTCGGTGTCCACGAGCACAGTCTGGAGGAAGTCAGATGCATACGTGAGATCAGAGGCGAACACGCCGAGTTCGCGCAGCCCGAGAATACGTGTTGAACGATCATTTACGACGCTCTCTGCGTGTCGCCTCCCCTTGCTGCCGCAATAGTGGGCGACACCGTCCGATACGATGGTCATGATAGCCGAACGCGCCGTTACCAGCCATTCCTCCACATCCCGCTTGGTGTTGAGAAATACGCTGACGCGCTAAGTGCAAGAGGTGCCGGTTTAGCCGACTGCCAATATCTCTTACATCTTCACTTTCAGGCCTCAATCCTATCATTCGCAACGTGTTATCGGCGACCTCGTCACAAATACACAGTCAAAGCGGCGAAGATCGGACTCAGACATGGGTAGGCGATGTCATCGCAAATCGGTGATTTGATAGAGGGGGTGCTGATCTTGGGGTCGCGGGATATTAACTTGGCGGGTCCCTGGATCCCAGTCTACTGGATAGATCTATCCGGCGGAACGATGAAACCGGGGGCCCGTGCACGAGTCACCCAAATTTCTGTCCTCTTGACATGTGCTTGGGGCCGGGGTAGAGGAGCGGATTGTCGCGGGCTTGTGATGTTTCGCCGTTGTTGCGGAATCAACCGTGGCGTAAGTATGCATGACATAAGACCGAACGTTGGGACTGACAATCACCACCTTCATGGGAAATGCAGTCCCTTCCCCCGGCGGCTTACAGTGTACGAAGTAAGCTCGGTGGCAACTAGCGGCGCTCTGTCCCTACGTAGTAGTAGGATAGCCTTGTGTGACGCAAGACTATCTTTTTTGGTGTTGATGAGATAGAGGGCTGTGCCTGTGACGTCACCGTGAAGATTTTTGTACTTCCTCTCTCTCACCTCTCAATGTACCGACTTGAGGTTGTTCTAGCGCTCCTGCTCTTCACTTGTGGTCCATGGCTTAGAGGCCATCACATCAGTCTCTCATGAACGCATGATGCGCTACGAGAATGCAGCGTTGGAACAGCTCTGGACGCTGCTAGAATTCGACCGTCTCGTACGGCCTTGTTCGTGAGCCTGACTCTTTGGGCGCGCTATGTTTTGTTATGGATACGGATATGGCGAGTCCTTGAGTTTAATAAAGCAGAGCTTGAGCAACGACGGAGTGATGGTTGCATGTTGTTGTGCGGCTTTAGCAAGAATGACAACAGCGATATGATGGAGAGCAATAGGTACTTCGTTCTGCATTCATGAAAAGCGACAGCGATTCTGAAGTAGAGATCTAGTCCTGGACGTTGACGTAGAGAAGGATCTAAGCCTTGCCCAAATGCTTCTAGCTCCCGACTATGTCTGACCCTGAGCCATACCGCCAAGCCAGACACCGGACGTCACTTCGACGTAGGGGCCCTTCAGATTGAAATAGAAGAGGAACAGGATATGTTTCCGGGTTCAGAGCTGAGCGCGCAATGGTGTACGAGGGTAGTTTTGAGTAGGGGTGGCTACTGAAATGGAACGCGCACAGCGTATGTCAATCTTCCCGTCTTTCTTTCCGTACTGTACATTTCGCAATGCCCAATGTATACCAGCGAGCCTCAACATACTGTCGTTCTTGCTCATGTACTACCTAATGAGGTTAGAGGGCCGCCCCAAGTACCAAGCATTGATCAACACCGTGCCTTAGATTTAGACCAACACGCACGGGTATCGGCAATCTGGTAGCAAAAAGAAATCAGAAAATCATACGTTACACACCCAGACGCTCTTGCCCGCTAAGCTGGAACGGCCCTTCCGCCGCAATCAACACTGCTTCTTTGGGCATGTACTGCTCCGCTCACGCATTGATCGGTGAAGAAAATTGTAGTCGCCACGATCCGCGATTCAGGTATAGCGTATCCCGTCCACTGGGGAGCATGTCCTAGGTATACTGTTTCAGAAAAGCTTGGTTTCGACGATTGCAGCTGAAATCATGCATAGTATGTCGACCCCGGATACATCATATTCCTAAACGCGAAATTCGAGACGAGTGTGATGGAGTCGTCCCATGGAAATAGCAGAGGGCAGATCCACCTCTCTACGATCTCCCAACCCCGCAATCCATGCTCATCCTACGCATAACAGGGTCTGCGTTAGAGGAACTGCCTGCTGATGGGGAGTTATGATACCACTTCCCCTCATTTGTTCCATGGGAACGAATGTGGCAGTACCAACATTACTTTCGCAACCCGAACGCACAGACATTGATATCAGCCACCACATACTCTCAGCCAAGTCGCATAGACAGAAGGAGTTAAACATCGATTATTGTAAATACTATCATGCACGAGGGCTTACGTGGTTGCGGCACGGCGTCGACGCCGACACGTGGAACAACGGCAAGTGTCCGGCGTAGGCTTGCCGCTAGACAGGCTATACACACAGTACCCACATAGTAGCCCAGCTCCATCGAGGCCACTCATTTATCCCTACTCAATAGTCCACGTTGATTCTGGAAGCTGTCGTTTCTGAACGTGGCTGCATGCTCAGGCGTGATTCTGACTCGAAGCGTCCTCAGCTACGTCGATCACGCCCCTGCTAGGATCTGCGTCTCTTCTGTAGAAGTTCTGGCTGCAGCATGGCGATCAGGGTCTTGCGGTATGGCAACGCTAGCAGTAGCCGCATTGTAATGGCCCTGCTCCTGAGGCTCATTATCGGGTGACGGGAGCGTGTTCAAATCCTTGACTAAATGCTCCTGTTCCGCGGATGGCTCTTGCCCAGTAGTTTCTATCGCCAGTATTTCCTCTAAGGGCGCAGGCTTTGTTTGAGCAGCCAATCCCGTATCGTTGCGAGGAAAGTCATTTCTCTGCATTGAAGCCTCACAAGCATCGCGATGAGCGCCTAAAGGCTGACTTGGGCTTTCCGTGCTTGCCGTCTTGGAACTCTCATGATTAGTCGAGGTCGGTTGCAAGCCTAGCAGATTAGGCAGCAATTCTTGTGTGCCGACTTCAGATGCATCGTGAGCTTTGAAAGAAGTATTCTCCATTGACCCGGTTTGCGGTGAGCCGTATTCGGAGGAGGCAGTCGATTGGGGCTCCACACTATTCGTGCTTGGTCGAGCTGCATTGCCCTGGCATTTTGCCTCACTAGTCACTTGCGTATCCATGTGGGGCTCATCGTGGGGTTTGGCAGCGTCTCGCACTTGATCGGCGCACATCGCCGCTGTGGTTGCTGTTTCTGGAACAGCGTCACTTCTTCGCTCCAGACCGTCGTCTCCAATATTCTCCACTCGACCTAGAATTCCGTCAACTTGATGATGATCGCCATGTACTCTTGTTGTTGATAAGGCAGAGATTGAGCTATCTGTCATCTCTTCAACACCATCTGGCGCACCGTCAAGCTGTGGTTGTTTCTCTTTTCGTGATGTCTCCCGGCTCCGTCTGCTTTTCAGACTTCTAGTTTGCGCTGGCTCAGCGCTCGAAGCTCCCTTAGCTCTCCGCGCAAGTCTCGCAGCACGAGCGTCTGTAGGAGCACGTTCATTCTGGTTCAGCTCATCTATTGCTACGGCATCTTCCGTTTGAGTGATTGCGTGCTCAGCAGCTGCGAGTTTTTTCAATTCCGCCCATGATTTTGCTTTTTCGCTCTGTCCTGCAAGCTCGTCCTCGCTCAGCTCAACCCACTTGGCGCCGACTTTCTTCATACCGGTGAACTTGAGAAACGTCAGGCCGGAACCGCTGGTATCCATGTACTCCGATCCTTCAGGCGGCGCGTTCCTCCCCCGCACGTACGTTTCGCTCGGTCGATGAAACTGCTCACTGCTCCTGTAGTCGTCGTAAAATTGGACTGAATCTGAAAACTTCAGTCGCTTGCGTCCTGTTGATGCTGCTGCGCTACGTGATCGTTTGGGCGATGGCCGGAGTGAGAGCGGTATACCTTGTCGCTCATGCGGTGCTAAACCGGATGTGTCTCCAAATCGCTGGGTAGTAGGAGAGTGAGATCGCCGTCGCTTGGTTCCAGGTATCTGCTCTTCATCTTGATTGGTATTATCTCCGTCGTTTGAGTCCTTGTTTTCAAGTTGTGCATCCTGTCCGTCTCTTGGTGATCCGGGCGCCTCAACAGTCATCAACCAGTTGTCAAAGTCCATATGGGCTCTCATGTGGTTCTCTCGCGCAAAGGATTTAGTGATGGAATCGCGCTTGTTTTCGAATACAGCCCAATCAGCATCTGCAGCTCGTATCGCATCATAGAGAGAGTCGAATTGCTGACATGTACTACATCCTGCGTGTGGCGTGTCGGGCGATGTTGTCGGTGTGAGTCCCGTTTCAGACACCGCAGCCAGGACTCTGGCACATGATTTGCATTTTACAGACTCGTATTTGGCGGCCATTCAGTTGGTGTTTGGTTGTGGACGTGATTGTGTTGACGAGGTGAGGGTGTTCAATCGAAGATTTGTGGGCGTGGATCTTGCGAAAGTGATGAGTAATGAGCCCTTGCACAATTATAATGCGAATCATGTATGTGGAGGGGCACAGATGGGTATGTAGTCGGGTAGTGGGGATGGTCGACACAGGGTGATTGCCAGTGATCAAGAAACAAAGACGCGACTGTGGAGCTGTCGCGTCTTCAACAACAGCGCGCCAGCCTTTATCGCTTTTGCAAACAAGTATCGTGCCCTACGAGAGCGAAAGTCGAATGGGAAGAGACAGTAGAAAATACATGAATGACAGGATCGAAAGTATATGGCTGAGTTGTTTCCTGACAACCATATCGTTGTTGCCACACACCCTCGCTATCGATGATCCCTGCTCGGCAGTCCCCTTTCTCGCTTCCACAAACAGCAACTACGATGTTTCATTCTTCCATAATCTTCACCGCCCGCTGTTTTCTCGAGGGAACTGCCGCGTCAAACTGGCGACCTCAAAGCCCACGTCGTCCATGAACTGCGGCGATATGCAGTGCGTAAACCGCGAACACCTGAGTTGGAGTCGCGAATGAACGCGTCAGACAAACCCATTCACGCAACGCCGGTGACGTCATCAGGATCATGCGCAATCAAAACACGACCCAAACTTCTAATAACGAGGTACTCCTAGTAGTTCAAGTCTAGGAAGTCAGGCTATGAGAACAAAACTGCGTTCTTATCGCGGAAGCGTGGGAACATAGTGCATCGTCCTTCGACCAAACGCTGTTTGACGCTGGAGGATTCGATAGCAACTGGATACCCTAAACAACAAAAACATTACTTAGGCGCCAGGACAGCTGAACATTGTTCTCGGCGCAATTTGCATTCGAAAAGAACGCCAACAACTCAGACCAGACCAGACGTCAAACCAAAGGCGTCAAACGAAATGCCGTTGGTCTCACCATGATCGATCTTATCGAATTGCATCAGACAGAACAAGAAGCTGCTATTGTGCTTCAGGAAATCCACTAGTCAGTTTCAACAACCTGGAAATATTCCTGAGCTCCCAGTGTAAGCCGTAGTGTGTTCTATTCCTATGTCGTGCTTCGTTATATCATGGGGCCGGACGCCTTTGAGATGGATACAATGTCTTCAGCTTTTTCTTCATCTTTTCTTTCCACTTGGACGATATACCCTGGTCCTCAACTGGTCCACTTCGGCCCTGATCAGTCGCCGGATCTGCAACATATGCGCTTGTTTCGGTCGCGTTTGTGGAGTCTGACGACTGAGCTGTAGTGGACTGGCTAGCCGAGGCTGTCAGGCTTCCGTCACCGCTACTCGATGCAGTGCCCACTGTGGGTTGTTGTAAGTGGTGTTCGGTCTCTTTGACAACCTTGGGTTTAATGCGACGACCTGAACTTGAGAGGTTGACAAACACAACAGCGCTGGTTGCTTTCAAGGAAGATACATCGACAGGAACTGCCTCTTTCAACATACGCGTCCGTAAAAACTTCTTGGACACTATGTACTGCGCTGGATTGTGATGATCCGCCTTTATAGTTTGCTTGCCCTTCAGGCACTGGCAAGTGTCGAAAGGCCGACATGACGACACCCATTCAAGCTTGCGCGTTAAACCTCCCTCTTTCAGCCCAGGCTCTAATTGCTGTAGCTTCTCTTTATACAGTAATGTAAGAGTTGGAACAGAAGAGGTCAGATAATCCTCACCCTTAGGTACGGATCGCCATGCTACGCACATAGCGTCAGCATTACTAGGGCGGATGAGGTCTCCGAAGCCCTTGCCAAAGACCGTGAGCACCCCTATAGTAGGTAATAGATCGATCCAACCGTTTTCCCCAGAGCTGAATCGTTCGATACGAGAAAGAAACTGAGGACGAGATTTGACAAGATCGAGGATGTCGAAACCTACGATGCTTTTCCGGGTGTCGAAGCTCTGAGTGATCCTTGTGCCTCCTTCTGCAGCTGCACGGGTTCGGGCTTCGACGATGAGCTCCAGCGTATGTAGTATCTTGTCCACTCTGTTTCCAAAAGTTGAGTACGTGTCGACTGGCTGGCCATTCCCGAAGGAACGGTCTTTTATGTAGACGTTCAGCGCTCGGTTCTCCCAATCTCTTAGTGTACGTTTTGCTGCAGTGCGCCCGCCCCGATCGATCCAATTTTCTTTCAGCTGGCTTTTGTCAAAGACCCAATCATACGTGCTGTCAGGGTTGGTCTCGTCCAATTGTAGAGAGATTCGGACAAGGTGGAGTAGTGCCGAAGCACCATCAACTAGCCAAGCTCTGCGGTCTGTCACGTCGTAAAAGTTGATAAACTGCTCACTCAACCAACTGAGCACCTGGGAGAAATCACGGGCCTCTCCAGATATTATTGGTTGCTCTCTCTGGTTGATCCGTGCATTCAAGCCGCCTATCACATACATGCCTCCTTCAATGTATAGACGGTCGATGACACTGTACGAAGGAGATGGCAGTGTTCCAGATGCGGAGACATTGAGATCAGCCTGAGGATGACCTGGTACCATGGTTAGAACTGAGATGTTGTATTTGCGCTATTCCCAGTTCCCAACCTACCGCAAAAGTCTGCCGCTTCCGAACACCATCCAATGATATGACGACAGTTTCTCAGTGAGCGGAGCAAAGGCAGTTCTCTTTCATTTGAAGTCGTTTCCTCTATCCGAGGGTCGAAGTAAGATATACGCTTGCCCGGGTTGTTGCTGGTATAAGCATGCCACATAATGACATTGTCATCCAAGACAATTTCAGTAGCGACCAGCAACGTGTCGAAGCCTTTCATAACGATCCGATTCTCCAGGCGAACTACTTGTTGGGCTTGTAAGAGGCTGGCCATGATGCCTAGCGATGCCTCAAGACCTGCAGCTGGCGTTGACTTTCGGAGTATAGGATAACCACTGACTACGATAGGGTTCGTAAACAGCTTGATCCAACAAGTACCTTTGACTGACACGGGAGGCTGCTCGCTATCTTGAATGTCGAAAGTGAGCGCGCTCGATATCATGATTCTTTTGGCTTCTTGTTCGGTCGATGTTTCCACTGATAAGATTGTCATGCGCGGTGACATCATAACTGGTGTTGCTTGTGGTGGTGATACGCGTAGTGCTGCCGCTAGCCATGTTATCTGCTCTGCAAATTCGGGTATCGTGTACGGGTTCCCATAAGCCACTATAAAGTACTCATCGGTGTACAAAACGCTGATTTCTACGCGAAGGGTAGGCGAAAGAACATCTGACAATCCATAAGTGCGAGAAGCATGAAGATTATTGGGGAACATACATGAGCATGCCTGACGTGGCTGGCAATTTAAGAGCTCCAAAAGCATACCTTCCAGTCGTTCACCAGTAGTTGGCCATGTTTGGCGGAGATATGTGCCCACGGTGACAGACTGAACGTCATTGCTTGAGCCCGTCAGACACAATATACGATTCCACATATCTGGAGAAGGTGACACTTCTAGTGACTCAATATACTTCACCAGGTCCCAAGTCACATAAACCTGCATATGAACAGTTAGCAGTGAATTCTGGTCACGCATATTCTGACCAACCGCGCGACGTATGTCCGATCCAATTTGATCCTTGATGTTAGGACTCGGACAGTAGACTTGGGTCCTGAGCTTGAGCTTTGCGAGGAGCCAGCGGTAGGCATCTGACTTCAAAATCCATTCTTCGTATCGCTCCAATTGCGGTTTGGAGACTCTTTGAGATGGGTAGATTAGAGCTTCCTGTTCCTGTGCAAGTGGCGAGCATGCAGTAGTATCTGTTCGAACGCTAAGGTCGTCTTCTTCAAGAGGCTCACTTCCGTGCATAACGCTGACAAGACTGCTACGAAGTGGGTCTCAGCCTATGGGCCACTGATGAACAGATGGAAACAGCAGAGTAGTCGGCCATGTATGTTGTATGCACTTACCTGCTTCCGTCAAAGAGACATACCGATGCTTCCCGTTGAAGTGGCGTTGTAGATTCTTCATGCAATCTCCACGCGAAAACCTCCAGCCAGTTGCCGATTTCAAGAGGCGGAATTTGGCTTATGGGTTCAAGATCGGCAATCGCTTGTGTGTCCTTCATCAGTCGTTGGGCAATAAGTTTGACAAGTTTCGGCCCAATCACCAACGTGGAATACAGTACCGGAATTTCCTCTGACGATAGCGTATATTTCGGTAAGGAAGGCGCACGTTCGTCTCTTAGATCTGGATAGAAATGAGAGGTATCGGCCTTAGTCGTATGGATACTCCGTGTTGGAGAGGTCCTTTTCAAACGACGTGGCTGTTCCAGAATACTGAAATCATCTAAAGAGTTGAAGGTTTCACCTCCTGGGAGTCGTGTCGATATATCGTTCCTGAATGACTGCTTTCCGGCGTATGAGAGGGAGTTCAGCCTTGACGAGAACCTGCCAGCTGAAGGGCGGGAGAGCAAAGGTACATTCCAATTTGTCACTCGCTGTCCTTGCTCTAGACCATGTTGTCTCTCAAGCATGATAGCCCGCTTAGAAGCGCCTTCACGAAGACGGGCGTAGGCAGGAACAGTATAGCCTTCAGGACTTTGTTGACCCATTAAGGCATGAAGTTTGGAGATCTCGATCCTGCCAAACTTCGTAATCATCTCTTTCATGGTCGCAGTCATGATTCTTGTGAATAAGAAGTCTCCCGGTACTGGGATCTTAGCCGTATCATGTATGGCTGCAAGTAGCTCTATTCGGCCAAAGAGATCACTGCGATAGAAATCCGTGTATTTTGCAGCATCTGAAACGGAACGTGAACAATCCAAGATGAGAAAAATATCAAAGATAGCATTGTCGAAGAGACTTTGTATCTTGTGCCAATCGAAGTGTGACCCACGTACTCGGTGACTGCATGGGGTTAGGTAAAGGACAACTCTACGTTCCTCAGCTCACTTACGGTCGCCAGAACGCCAATAAAGTCTGGGCCCATCCAGGTTCAGCATACTGTTTGCTATAATCGTTGTCTGTATCCTCGGCGTAGTAAATGATCAACAGGCAAGACGCACCAAGAGCACGCGTCTTGTGTGTGATTGTTATATGCTCATCCTCCACTATATCGTATACTACTTGAGGATTGTCGTCGGTAGAGATGCCATAGGACCGCGTCTCAAAGTTCAGGCTCTCGAAGAGGTTCTTCAGCTTCCTAATCTCCCGGTAATGATCGGGACGAAAGTCCGAAGGTTCATCGTACAGCAGCAGTGCTTTGACATAAGCGTAATGTGGTTGAGATACAGGATCAGTCATCTTCTGTACTATATGGTCCTCGGGATATATGCTTCTAGAATAACCTCCCAGAGTGCTACCTCCCAGAGTGCTGGTATGGAGGACGCTGTGTGCATCCATGATGTGAGAGGACAAGGCTGGTAGAAAGGATAGGGCTGAGCGATGATAGACACCAAGAACTGATGAGATGACAATCTCTGCCAACGGCTACGTCTATTAGACATACTAGTATGTGGGCTAGAGAAGCGTCTTCTTGAGCGGGATTTCTACAGAAGATGAATGTGCTGTACAATCTCCCAATAAACCCCTCAAAACAGCACGCTTCAGCTGAGGCTGAGTCGATATGCGGTGTTCTCATTGGTTGGCTCTCGAAGGACAAGAGATTTCGATGCGCCCAACAATTATGTATGCCGCTCATTGGGCCATCAATGAGCCTGGCGTACATGCTGCAGATCTGTGCTTACATGGAACGAGAACGCCTTGGGGACGGTGGATGATCGACGACACAAGGCTGAAAGTATGCCGCAATCAACCTTTCGCTGCTGTGCAACCAGGGACAAGTCAACAGCGCACCTCCTGGAGCAGTGGGACGACGAGTCAAAACGCTCACAATATACATGTAGCGCATTGTAGTATCTTGTCATATAGTAGCTACAATCAAAACACCACTGGTGCTTGCCTGCCGGTTAGCTATTATGGTGCTCGTAGGACATCTAGCTACTCGACGCAATAGAAGGAATGGCAGCGCCCTCGGCAGCGCCACAGCCTCCAGAGAATCACTGGTCGAACATCTTTATTCCCCTGTATGCCTGCACTAACTTTCTCCACGGAAGCTTTGAAACCAGGCTGTAGCTCCCTGACCCGCAACCTTCTTCGCAGGCCCATGTCTCCGATCCTTTAGCCGCACAGGTACATCTTGGCTCACTGTAGCTGTGTTGCTCTCGCTGGTCATGGTGCTTCGTGGATCCAAAATGAGAAGCAAAGAAATGTTACCATCAGTTTGAACGACTCTAGGCGTGGGCGGCATGTGTGGAAGCAGTGAAACTGTATATCACGGATCTGACGAAAAGCAGCTGATGGTGGGATTAATTTGTATTTTCACTCCACGACCACGATCTCTTTATCTTCAAGCTATGCCGCTCCAGTCTTGTCCATACGTCTCCATAGACCCAGGAAGCCACCTCCGACAACTTGGTGGCCGACCTTAGGTCTACACACCATGACCCATTTGTCGTCTTCCTTGGTCAACTCTTCTGCCAGCTCAGTGTCGCGTGCGGCTTGGCCTGACTCTGAATCCGTGGTCTCGTCGGTCGAGGGTTCAGAGGGCTGCTTTGTGTGAGCATCCTGTTTGGATGCTCTGGGTTTCACGGCGCGAACATCCCACTCGCGAATTGTGCCTGCGCCAAGCTCAATGACTTGATCAAGCAGATATGGCAGTCTTTGTTCGCGGATGGTTTGGACACATTCGGCGATCTGGGTGACGCTTGGGTTGAAGACAGCGAGCAAGCCATTGGCGTGCAAGGCGGGAGCGACGTTGGGAAGGTGGCTAGTCGCGTTGGGGAGGTCTAAGAAGACATGGCTTAAGAAGGGCTCTTCTGTCTTCCTTGAGGCTCTTTGTTTGGCTATCCACTCGGATACGTCGCCCACGTGGAAGTCGACGTTACCCGCGTACATGCCATGTCGGAAGCCTTCTACAATCTTCTTTGCGTGTTTGGAATGCTTGCTAGATATGTCCAGCGTGTGTATGATGGCGCGACGAGCCTGTTTCCATGACTCGAGCCCTGACTCTTGCAGGTCTGACAGAGATTCGCCGAGGTATACTGCGTCTTCAGAATCTTCCTCAGTTGCTGTATAGGAAGGTGTTCTCGGAATCGGCGGATTTCCGGCGTGTATGGCGCGGGAAAGGTGCAGCGTCAGGGCGCCGTGGCCTGTGCCAGCTTCGAGTATCTCGAATGGTGGTTCGGTGCTTGGGCTAACGGAGGGAGTATCAACGTGAATGTCGAGCAGGGACACAATGAGATTCGTATCCGAAGGGTAGATCTAGTCGATGTTAGTATATATGTACGGTGCGATGGGGCTATACGGATACGCACTGGGGTAACAAGACGTGGAGTCAGTCTGACGTACTCGGCCAGTGTAGGGTCGTGGATGCGGAAGGAGGCACCCTTGTGGGAGTGGACAATCTGGCGCGGCTCTTTCCCAATCACATCTTCATGCTTGATGACGCCCCTGTGTGTACCGGTCGACTTGGGCGCCTGCAGCTTCACGAGGCGGCCATCCTGAGTCTCTTTGGCCTCGCGCAAGAGCACAACATCGCCGTCTATGCGATTGTGAGCTGAGTCGGAGTGGTGGAAGCGGAGGTCTTGCCTTGGAATGCGCGGTACAGGCGGGAGCTACTCGTAAAGTGTCGTGCACGCGGGGGTAGTGCAGCACATCGTAGCTGGTGGAGGGAGGAAAATCGCATGGCTTTGTCAGAGCAAAGATGTGCAGATGCGGAGGTGACGCCTTCTCCGCACCGCGAAGCGAGCCGCGACCGCGGGAGGCATTGAGTGCCGGTGTCTCCAGACAGGTACCTGATCAGCCCTGCGCAGAAGATGGAGACCCAAGGCTGTGTTTATGCCTTTGAATCTCCCTCGAGCTAACGAACATTTCCCTATCGGCAGTTATGAAGCCCAGAAGAGCGCGTTGTGACTCTCTGATCCCTGCATCGCCATTGACGATCTGAGATTCCAGGGTTCGGCCTAGCCAAGAACACCATGGAGCACCACCTGCACACTTCCAAGACACATGTGCGCCGCTCAACACGCTTGACCTCACCTCTCCAGCAAACGCCTTCATGTCATGGACATAACCTCGCGCTGCTGTGAAACACACACTTGCTGAACTCGACCCTGCCTCTATGCGCCACTACTCACACCCCCGAGACCCTCCACCATGACGCGCCGCATAGTGAGTACAGAGACGGCGTCGTCCTAGTCAGCACTAACCACCACAGGTACGGACGGGCATACAGCTCATCGCCCTTACCATCGTCGTCTCTGTCACCGTATTCTTCCTCGATAATCGCTACCGCGTCCTCCCTCAATCTGTCCACAGTCACATGCCACTGCACCACGACGGCCTCATTATCACCGATATCACCGTGCAGACATGTTCGACAATCAATCCCCTCTCCAAATGTATGCTCGACCAGAAGAAGTGGCATCGCATCGAGAAGGACTTGCACCTGGGTTCAGGATGGGTTACCAAGTCATACGTCCACATCAAGCGCAAGCGGGAAGAGGAGCTCAAGACTGAAGATAAGGTCATCATCGACGTTCGCACGGGCAAGCTTGACCCCTCTGTGGGCGAGAAGGCCCAGGCGTCAGAGAAATGGGAGTCACGGCCAGCTGGCATCTGGATCAAGCGCTCGCTGAAGCGTCACGCGAGCTACTCCAAGAAGGCAGTAACGGCCGTCGACATTCTTTTTGGCGCTGATGCAGTAGAGCCACGTCCTGGCTGGGAACTGGTCAAGAACGGAGCCCTGCATCTCGAGACGGGCAAAGCGAGCGCCGATCCTCGTCTCAGCATACGAAGAGGCCCGGCAGCCAAGGTGGAGAAGCCTGTACCCAAGATCAGGAAGGATGGCAAATTCAAGATCATGCAGATATCCGACCTGCATCTCAGCACTGGCCTGGGCCACTGCAGAGACCCGGAGCCCAAAGGCCACAACGGCGGACACTGCGATGCCGACCCTAGGACCATAGAGTTTGTCGAGAGAGTTCTCGACGATGAAAAGCCAGACTTTGTCGTCTTGTCCGGCGACCAGGTCAATGGCGACACAGCACCCGATGTCCAAAGTGTAGGGTGCCTCCTATTCCAAGAGTGACACGATAGCTAACCACCTCCAGGCCTTGTTCAAGATAGTCGACCCCCTCGCAGAGCGCAAGATACCATACGCAGCCATCTTCGGCAACCACGACGACGAAGGCACTCTCTCCCGCCACGCGCAAATGGATCTCTACGATTCCCTACCCTACTCCGTCAGCGAGCCCGGTCCCAACACGATAGATGGCGTCGGAAACTACTTTGTAGAGATCCAAGCCCACAGCAGCAAACACTCAGCCCTAACCCTATACTTCCTCGATACACACTCTTACTCACCAGACGAGACCCACTACCGTGGCTACGACTGGCTCAAGCCAAATCAAATCGACTGGTTCAAGACCACCGCTCAAGGCTTGAAGGAAGCGCATAGCCATTACACTCACAAGCATCTCAACATGGCTTTCATCCATATCCCACTTCCAGAGTATGGCAATGTCGAAAACGAACGCGTTGGAAACTGGACTGAGCCCATTACCGCCCCGGCTTTCAACACCCATTTCAAAGACGCCCTGGTCGAATACGACATCAGTGCAGTCTCATGTGGCCACGACCACGTAAACGACTACTGCTCGCTGTCCAAAGAACCCGAGACCGGTGATCCAGAACTGTGGATGTGCTACGCCGGTGGCAGTGGCTTTGGTGGCTATGGTGGTTACAACAACTACCACCGCCGATTACGCGTCTTCGAAATCGATACAAATCAAGCACGCATTGTGACATGGAAGCGGTTGGAATATGGTGACACTGGGAAAAGACTTGATACGCAGATTATTGTGGATTCTGGAAGGGTCATAGGGAGACAAAGCGCCAACGACGCGTGAGACACGTGAGTGATTTGTAGAAACGATCGCATGTCAAGGCGTTTAGGAGTATTATTATGGGCGTTCGGAAAATCACTGCTCTTGGAGATGTTGTTAGAGATCATTCCCAAGGTGGGCTACAAGATGAGCAATAGCAGATTTGAATCAACAAACGCAAATTCGATCAAATCTCACCTGGATGGAACGTGCACGAAACTATTGACATGTCTTGAAATTTTCTGAAAAGGCAGGTAGTGCTGATCCCAGCTGCTCCGGAGTGATAAGCACCAAAAAGCAATAGCTAAGCTTTTCTTACGCTGACGATAGACGCGCCTTAGTCGTGACAGGACGCCTAATGTAAGGTTCCAATGTTTCGGCTTGACGATTCGGCACCAGCCATCTACAACAACGCTATATCCGTAGGGCGAAAGCTGAGTAACACAAGAAGCAGTCAGCAAATAGCGCTGAATACATACATGGGCTGCTGGGATAAGTCACAGGGAAGTTATAGTATGGCATGGGCCCAAGACGATATCTTTATTAATCTGCATGTTTACTAGACCCTTTCTCAGAGTTCTTCATCATCGTCCTCGATATGCCTTTTCTCGCCCAAAAATGTTTATCCATCCCTACAAAAGACATCCTCTCGTGGATGTATGACAACCCACTTTTCGATCAAGATAGACCTGTACGCTCTCTAAGTGCCCTCGCGTTGTATTGTTCCCACCATACTAATACGCGACTTCAGATATATATCGACGCCAACAACCCAGCACACCACATTACCGCTGCACAGGCCCATGTTCTCATTCGCCAACTCATCGCCGGATTCAAACATGCGGGTATACAGACGGGCGATGTCGTACTAGTGCATGCCTTCAACTCGATTTACTACCCCATCATCATCCTAGGTATCATAGGTGCAGGCGCAATCTACACAGGCACAAACCCAGGTTATACGAGATGGGAAATAGAACACGCGCTGAAGAGCAGCGCAGCAAAGATGGTGATTTGCGACACAGAAGTGCTGGAAAATGGGATGAGTGTGGCCGCGAAGGAATGTGGTCTGCCTAGAGAACGGATCTTGATGCTAGATGATACTACCCTTCATCTTCCACTACCGCAAGCGGCAGACGACAGAACGTCTTGGCGTACACTGCTTATGCACGGCGAGGCAGATTGGCAGCGTTTCGACGAATTGGAGACGGGTCGGCGTACGATTGCTGGTCTGTTCTTCTCCAGCGGAACGACGGGGTTGCCCAAGTTGGCGAAACTGTCGCATTACAACCTCATCGCGCAACATACACTAGTCTTCCAGGCGAATCCGCGGCCATACCTTCTCAAGCGTCTGATTGCGCTGCCAATGTTCCATGCTGCTACTGCGCCGTCGACGCACTTCTCTCCTCTTCGCGCGGGACATCAACAGATTGTCATGCGGCGGTACGAACCTAGATCATTCCTTGAGATGGCAGAGAAGCATACAATCACGGATCTAACGCTCGTGCCCCCGCAGGTAACCAGTATGCTAGCAGTCCCATTGACCAAAGCAGAAAAAAGGAGGATGTTGGCAAGTGTGCGTTGGGCGGTAGGTGGGGCCGCACATCTCGACGCTACTACACAGAAACGCTTCCAAGACCTACTTCCACCAGGATCACCATTTACACAGATCTGGGGAATGACGGAGGTCAGCTGTTTCGGGTCCATCTTTCCCTGGCCTGAAATAGACGACACAGGCAGTGTGGGAAAATTTCTGTCGAATCTGGATGTGAAGTTGCTGGATGACGACGGAAAAGATATCACTAACTTTGATGTGAGGGGTGAGCTGGCGGTGAGAGGGCCAACTATCACGACCGGATATGTTGGTGTGGCGCGAGAGCGAGACTTTGATAGCGATGGCTACTTCAGGACAGGAGATGTGCTGTATTGTGATAGCAGGACTAGACTGTGGTACATTGTTGATCGGAAGAAGGAGCTCATCAAGGTCCGCGGCTTTCAGGTCGCGCCGGCGGAGCTAGAGGGAGTGATTTTGGAATGTCCGGGAGTGGCAGATGTCGCTGTCATTGGAGTCAACGGAGGTGTCGGTAACGAGGAGGTACCTAGAGCATATGTCGTCAAAGGGAAAGATGAAGAGTTAACGGAGCAACAAGTCAAGAGCTGGGTCGAGGCAAAGCTGGCAAAGTACAAAAGGCTCGATGGCGGCGTGGTTTTCGTGCCGGCTATACCGAAAAGTCCAAGCGGCAAGATCTTAAAGCGTGTACTGAAGGAAGAGATGACGGAAGTAGCGACACGTGCGAAATTATGAATTATATTCTTTCCTATCAGAAGGGCTCCGTTTGCCAGAAGTCCAAATTGGTAGGAGCGACTTGACCCAGGAATGTCTCGTCGAAACCGAAGCCGTATGATCCAATCAGGTCGTACATGTTGTATTCGTTTGTCGCATCGACGCTTTCGTCATTGCTCGCTGTAGCGGCCTTGACGGGATCGAAAATGTGCGTAGCAGCTGGCGATGCGGCTGGAAAGCCGCCTTGTGTGACTGAACCAGAAGGCGTCCCAGCAACATCGAGTCGTTTCAGCAGGTCGTTGATTCCTTGGACGATGTGCGTAGTAATGTGTTTCTCGTTCAGGTTTTCCGCCACTTTGGCTAAGAAGGAAGACGATCGTCGCGACAGCGACAGCACTTGGTTGATGTTAAAGTTGAGGCCTAATCCAACGGGCTCCGTCGCCCACTCTGGCGACTGTACTTGCGCCATGCCTCCCCAGGTTTTCGCCATCTTCAGCAAAAACGTAGCGCAGAATGCGACCATGGTGTGCGTGAAGATTGGAACTGCAGTCATTGCTTTGCGGAGATCTGGCTCTTCGAAGATGAGGGTAAGTGTACTTGTGGCGGCGGTGATGGCGATGTTTGCTGCTTCGCGGCGGTCATAAGAGAGCGACTCGGACGTTGCAGCGCTGGGTGGAGGCAGAGCACGTAGCGCCAGAGAGTTGAGCTGAAACCTAGCGAAGTGATAGTATAGCACTACACCCTTTGATGGATATGATCCGATAGATGGGCTGTCAGCGGATCTAGCCTGCCATGCAAGTCGCCATTGCTCTATTGCAAAGTTGAAGAGGCGAAGTTGCTGGAAATCAGGCTCCGTAAGTGGTTGTTCTGGATCGCTGCCATAGGCGATGTATGCTTCTGTCAATATCTTGAATAGAGTAACTTGAGCTCCCAATCTGATATCGCCTGGCGTCGTCTTTGGACTGTCGAGGAATTGTTCGATGTTCTTGATCGCAATGTCTTCGTGAACGATAGATGGACGTCCATATGCGATGCTGAACTGTTTGTCGCACACATACAAGGCATACCATAGGCGGACATTGTCGCGCTGCTCTTCGTGCCCTCGCATGAGCCTCTGGTAAGCCATGTGCAAGTTCATCTCCACGGCATTTCTCACAGCAAGTCCTGCTAACTTCCAGCTCAGGTTGGAGAGATAGAAAGCAGCAAGAGTTAACGCACGGATATCATCGAGGTTCTGAGGCCGAGCGAGAAAGGTGCTGTAGACTAACGATACAAAGATGTTGTAGCATTTTTGCAGCGCTTCGTCTCGACCAGGCGTATGCAACGCTGAGATGGTAAGCACAGCGGCAGTGAGAAGCGTGGACTGACGGCGAGCTGCTTCCAAAGAGTCATATGGGAAGAGTACACCAGCCCAAAGGTAAAGACGTATGTCTTGCATATACCGTCGGAATAGATCTTCAGCTTCCGCTAAAGGTATGATACCTTGAGCTATGAAGTCCTCCTCAACAGAGTTGGAATTCGGCTTCCACCGAACGCTGCTCCGAAGATTCCGAATCCGCGTAAGGTCGTATAGACTTCTCATGGGCGCTGTTACCAAGCCGGATTCTTCACCCGACTCACGCTCTACAGAAGTGTCTCTCGTCATGTCCATAGGTGGTGGGACGACGAACGTAGAGTGTCCATTTTCAGACATCATGTTTGTCGGGCTGATGGTCATGCTATGCGTACGTCCTGAAGGCAGTTGGGGCGAGCCTTGACTGACTGGACTATCCAAGCTCGGAAGTTTATTGTGCTGAAGAAGACGCTGCACCGCTGAGCGCAGCTGCCCCAATTCGGCTGTTGCATTGGATTTCCAACTGATTTACTTAGTGACGGCGCCTGAAGACACGTATTCAGAGCACTTACGCAGCATCTTCGTCTAGTAGTCGTTGGTTCAGATTGTATGGGACGCATTCAGTTCCGCTCCGCAGGCACTTTGCGCACTTTGCTTCATTGTCGACAGGTTCACACTTAATCTTGTGCCGTTTGCACTCCGCACCTATACAGCATGGGCAAGGAGTCGCGATAGAGTGGGGCGCGTTGACTTACAGGCTCTAATTCTCGGCGTGCGCGGTGCAGGTCGGCGTCCATCTTCATGATCCGCATCCTCACTTGGACGCTTCAGTGGAGACATATCCAAGATTCCATGCCATCGGACCTGCAAAGGATGAAACCGTCAGAGATCTTCGCGACACGACATTCAGGCTGAAGACACCGTGCTCGCGTTCGCGCTCGTGACATGATGAGATTGTGAGGAGGCTAGCCAGCCATCGCGGGATATCAGCGCTTAACCCAAATCAGCGGCAAAGTGGGGTGGTTCATGCACATCAAGCCGTTCATGAGCTAATGTGCCACACCAACATCCTGTTTACCCGTCAAGGGTCTTGCTCTGCCAGCTGGAGAGCTCAAGGCAAAATTGCGGAAAATCTCCGCGCTGCGATGGACAACACGGTTTGATCACTGAGATGCGCACGCAATCTTATACAGCGCAGCTTTCGGAAATAAGCACCAGCCGCGAAAATCCAGCTCCAGACCGAGGTTTGCTTTCTCTCTTCTATTGGTCAGACAAGCAGCGGTCAAGCTGTGGTCATTGGCATAGACTATCCTGCCGTAGAAATCTAGATTTGAATCCTCACGATCGCATTAGGGGGGGGTACTACAAGCAGGGCTTTCGAAGACGACTTGCAAAATCTATCATTAAGGGAACGGATCTTCAGCCATAGAGACCAGCACGGTTACTAAACTTTACATTGTTACTAACAGACTGCCTGAGGTCGGTGTCATGATGACGAGCTTGCTTCAGGAGGTCTTTCACAACCGTCCAGTCTGCACGAATCATGCAAGACTATTTCTATTAGTACGCAGTCTACGATCTATGCCAGCACTACCTTAACATTCGGCAATCAGCGTCCTCCGAATTCTCCTTGGTAACTGTTTTCACAAGTGGGGTCATTCTCGCCGTTTTCACTGAAACAAAGTTTGTCTTTCTTCCTCTTTACCCTTATAGACCTCGAGCGTAGAACAGGTGACGAGATTATGCTCTGTAAGAACTTCACTCTGGACTTCCTTGAGATGCTATAGGCGCCTTCAACGTACCAAAAGAACACTATTGAATCCAGTCATATTCTATGACAGCCGGGCCTCTAGTATGACGAAGACCTCCACCACAGTTTTCATGCTGTGACTGTACTTCCAGAACGATCCTCCAAACGTATATTGGCCAACGATATCATCTCTACATGATGGACTTCCCACACTCACATCAACTCTGAAAGTCCCCCGTCGTCAAGTAGTGCGTCTTTCGCCATGTCTCTGTCTCGTTCGAACAAGAGTTAAACGAGTCCCGGAACTGCAGGAATAGCACTTGTAGCTTCCGACGCCCAGGTGCTCAATGAGCCCAGAACATAGAGGGAAAAGAGTTATTGAAAGGATAACAAGATTTTGCCTGAACAGTTTCACGTTGTCTGTCCATCTCTCAGAATGGCTATCGCAGAGGCGGAAGGTCATTGCACTTAGTTGGCGAGCGGCCTGGAAGTATTCATGCTTACACTGCAAGAAGAGGGGGGCGTTCTATAGGGCATGGCCATGTTGTTTGTGCACTCGAGAGCAATGCGCACATGTTTGAGTACAGTGAGGAAGATGTTAGAATACATTGAAGCCCAGTTATCAAAAGCCAACGCAGAAATAGAACTAGAGTGATGATACCTCAAGGAGAACTCTTCTATGCAGGTACGATGTGTCTTAGACAATATGTTCGCTAACGAATTATCGTCTTGATGAGAGTGTTGTAAAGTAACTAGAGCATGAATAGTCCATTAAACAAAAGAAGAATTGGATTTTACGTTCCTATCTAGGCGATAACCGCGTTGAACTCACTACTTCCATCGACCAAGCCGAGAAACACACTGGCATTGATATCTTAACGGCTTCCGCCGTTTCTTTAAGCATCGCACACACGTCGATCTTGAGAGTAGTCCAGTGAAAGCAAGAGATAAAGTCTATTTATCCGCAGAAGACGCATGCGCCTTCAAATGAAGGTATCGCAATAATGCATGAAACGTCGGCCGCGACATCTGCCATGAGGATCAGCGCAAGATCGATCTTGTAAAACGTTGAACTTACCCGCAAATTCCGTACCAAAAGCAACAGCGCACGGTACAACAACAGCAGCAAAGGCACCAATACATCCTAGATGTCCATTAGTATGATGTCAGTATGCGAATCCAAATCTTGAAATACTTACCTGCGATGTTACATCCGGCGGCCTCCTTCCTTCTTAGCTCAATCAAGTCTTCCAGACATTGGGCCTGCAACCCGATATCTACATCCACACAGCTGTACTGTCTCTGCCTTGCCACTAAGCGTTTGGAGTCGAGACTGGTGTTGATCTCGGAATCTAGAGCCGAAGGCGCGGCAGATGTCATGGAAGACAAGGCCAGAAGGCCAATAGTACTGAGGCTAAGACGCATAATGTGGAGCGAATCAAATGGATGGGATGTACTGCCTGAGAAATCGGGTACAGCTGAGTGATTTGGAAGGGGATTTTAAATCTGTGCAGTGAACGATGGTAGGTGAGAAAAACACCATTTATATAGATATCGATCACACTAGGGCATAATGCGAGTACTCGCTTTCCAAGACCTCGGAGTGAGTATAAATCGGCCAAACTCTAGCCACCACCCTAGCAGTTAGCCCAGCATCAGCTTGGGCTGACGGAAATGGAGTCAAGACACCGGCCCGAGCACTTATACACCGCTATTGAAAACACCGTGTTCCTGTAAAGAAACGCTATATCGAGCCTACTGAACGAAGCATACGAAAGGTTCAACGATATCCAGAACTAGAATTAGAAGTAGAAGTGAATTTGAGAGATAGACAATGGCAAGAAATAGTGCAGCATCGAGAATCGCTACTGAATCGTACAATGTATAACTTTATTTATACTGAAACTGAGAAGTCTATGGCGTCAAGAGAGAAATAGGGCCTAAGTGCTCTGCCAAATAAGGCCCACACCTGACTCGGTTGTCTTCCACGCTCCAAGCACAATGAGAGTAGTACTTGGAATAGGATGAAAAAATGCCTGTGTGCATATGCCACTTAATGAGTCAGTCCAGTTCAAGAGAATGCATAATCAGGTTTCGTGAACTGAACTTGGCGGTTTATTGTTCCAGATAAATGAGAACGAAACTTGGCGCCGTTGTTGAGTTCTTGACAAGTAGATGGGGCTAACCTCTTCTGGGGAACATCGTCATTGCGCCTGTGTGTTCAGAAGTGGTGGTTGCACGTAGTTTAAGAACGCTTCCCAAAGCAGTAGAGAGTATCGGTAGTATGCGACTGCGCGACACGTTCTAGGACACGATGTGCGGAGTCAATTTCTCCTTGTTCACTTGGCGTAGTGATTACTTACCCGGGTAGGGAAAACAAAGGTACCCGGGCAGCCGCCCCACCTTACCACCGCCTTATATTCCGACGAAAACAGCGACTACGTGCGTAGACTAACGGCCACCGCTGTGTTACCGCTTACATTTGTTCCGAGGAATCCGATGGACTTTCCGCCGCATGGAGTTGATTGATGTCGCCGCAATGTTGACGCGATAAGACATAGGGCTATGGAAACCGGAAGAGCACAAGGAGCGATACCAACTCCCAGGGAAAAGACTGGGAATTAGCGCTCATGTGCTTGTTGTTTGGAGTTCAGAAAGAATTGATGTGGCCCAAGATACTAACTTCTCCAGCAAGGTGATTGGCAACCTGCGATGCGAGATTGCCCCGTAGACGACTCACGAAAGGCAGTATCAGAATACACAAGAGATATACGCACGGATGCATGCCGATAGAAACGGGCCTTATCAATGCACTGTCGATGCCGATAGTCCGGCATGGCGACCACAGCCTGAACATTGCACTAGCCAGTCTGCAGGACGATTGTAGACAGCCAGCGATAGAAGCGAAGATGTGCGGACGCAGGTATATAAATGTAAAGAAAGAGCCACATTTGACCACATATCAGCTACCAATCAGGAATTCTTTTCAAGTTTGCATCTTCCACGTATCAAACACACTACCCCCCGCTTGAAAGACATATACCATGAGATTCTCAGTCCTCGTCGCGAGTATCATCGCTGGGTACGTATCTTCCACGCTCGATGACAACTGGCGCTATCAGCAGGTGGCTAACAAATCAACCAGCGCATCTTCCGTCAGCGGCCAAATCGAGCTGCCAGGCGAGCAGAGGATCTGTGAGTGTCGCATCACGGCTTCTGGATCAAGTCCATCCGTCATCTTTTCCGGTATTCCATGTGCTGCTGTGGGCGGAAGGGAGTGTTTCAGCGAAATAGGAAACTCCATCTCGGTTCGTTCTTTCATCCTTCTTGCTTTAGTCCTCCCTCCAGAGCTCTCTTTCATGCCGCCGACATCTGCAATAAGAAACAGAAAGCGTATACTAAGAAATATGGTGTAGTGTGTTACGAGCGGAGCTGCTTGGACGGATGAACAATGCCGTGAATGGGGCGGCAATCCTGTTGACAACCGCGTTTATAGAGCTGTCTGTAGAACTTACAATGGGGGTGGATGCCCTGCATAAACTGCTAAGGTGCAGAAATTACACACATCTCTAAGCTCGTGCAAGGCGGCTTCATCTCCTCTACGACAAAAGTTTGTTTGCTTTTAGAATGTATGTTCTGTCAACACACCTCATACGATTTTGATTACTTCCAGCTCCGTATTCGCGAACCATTTCTCCCATTCTGACCACTCTTCGAGAGAGTCCCATCCCTGCCAAGCCTTCCACGTCTCGCGTCCACCATACAGTGGCCCTGAACAATGTTTTAGTGACGTGGCGCCGAGACCCAACCGCTGATAGCGGAGCTCGCCCCCATCACAGATCTGCCCCAGGACTAAGATACAGGCACCAGTTTGGCCTAGATGTGTTCCCGTGAACAGTAATAGACAGTAGACTGTTCCACATCTTCTCGTGCCCGGATCATGAATCTTGTTGGTTGCGCTGTCCACTTGAATATGGTCCAGGAACGGAGAAGCATCACGTCGGAGATTCACATGTGTTCCAGTTGTGCTCGAGTCCGTGTTGGAAGATATTCTGCAATCCGGGAAAACAACCTGTGCATTGAGGCCCTC